CGCCGCGGCCCAAGGCGCCCGACGGCGGCGGCAAGGAGAACACGGAGGGCGCGCCCGAGGCGCGGGCCAAGTGGGCCGTGCGCGTCCGCCTGGAGGACCGCTTCAACAGCATCCCTGCCGAGCCGCCGCCCGCCCCGCGCGGCCCCGAGACCCCAGAGCCCGGCGTGGCGCTCAGCAATTTGGTAACTCTTATCCGACATCCTTCCGAATTCATGAACGTCCCTCTACATCAGCAACAAAACAAATGCACGACATTGGTGGAAAATAAAACCGCAGCGGCCGCCACCGCTTCACAATTTACATGCCCTCTGTTCACGGCCGATGCTTGCTGGGCTGCAGGGGGTTAGAGCCTCTCACAGACGCAGGGTTCCGGTAACCCCTGTTCTATACGCGAAGCTGCCAAGCATCAGGACACTGGATTGCCTAGAGCATTCTCTTTCTGTTACCAGCAGGAAATTGAATCCACTAAACAGACTTTGGGCAGGAGAAACAAAGCTTTGCCTGAGCAAGTTTGGCCAAATTAAAGTAGAAGAAGCGCTATGTAAGCAAGCCATAAATAAGAGGAATCGGAGTAGAATACGTCACCTGGACACAAATGTAGAACGAAGAGCCCTTGGAGAGATTCAGAACGTGGGCGAAGGCTCGACGTCCCCACAGGGCGCTTGGCCGCCCGCGGAGTCCTCGCCGGCAAACCTCGGGGAGCAGACCCAGAGCGGGTCCCGGGGAGGAAGGTCGCAGCGTAGGGAGAGGCACAACCGCATGGAAAGAGAGAGAAGGTGCAGAATCCGCATTTGCTGTGATGAGTTGAATCTTTTAGTCCCGTTCTGCAATGCGGAGACGGAGAAGGCGACCACCCTGCAGTGGACCACTGCGTTCCTGAAGTACATTCAGGAAAGACATGGAGATTCTCTTAAAAAGGAATTTGAGAGTGTGTTTTGCGGTAAAACTGGCAGAAGGCTCAAGTTGACTAGACCGGACTCCTTGGTGGCGCGTCCCGCTCATGAGAGCCTACAGAGCAGACCAGCCATGGATGTCAAGTGACCAGAAGGGACCGCTAGTTCCCGGCAGTGGCGGCTGCTGCCTGGGGCCCCGAGCGTCTGTGCAGCCCCGGAGCCCCGGCGGTCTGGCTCTGGGGGACGTGAGTGCAGTTGAGGGGCCTCTGTGGGGACGTTACAGCACGTTTTGTAAAGATGTTTGTCTAGAACAAAATACTTAGCCATTCGTGTCTTCTTAGACCATTTGGGGATGAAGACATATTGACAATTAGCAAGAAACTTTTCAATTATCTGCCTGATTCCATCATGTTTTCTTAACATGATAACTTCAAAAATTAACATCCTTCGTAATTTCCTTAGTCTTCCAAGGTACACCGCTTTTTACTTCTTTTATTTACATTTTAAATGTGCCCGCCTAGCAACTGGAACAAGTTAAATTGTTCTTAATTAGAAGTAGTTTGGAAATTTTACTCCTTTGTTTCTCCCTCCCCCTGTGCTGACTTCAGTCACATGGCACCGCATTGTGAAATGCGGTCCCTGTCCAACCCTCTTGCTGGACATTTTCCAGAGACTCCCTTTGAAGCCACTTTTGTCCATAAATGAGATATTGTCACAGTGGATTCCTTCAATGCCCTCATTTTCATATTGAGAGTCATTACTTTCTGTGTAATAAACTGTGGTGTTTGGAACTGAAAAAAATATATTGATTTATTAATATGGATCCATGGGGCAAGGGAAAACCTAACAAAAAGTGTTGAAAAATATGATGCCATGAATATTACTGCATAACTCTCTGTCAAGACAACATACAGAGAAAATCATCCAGAAAAATCAATATTTTTTCTCCTAAGAACTGGAACCTGGGAAAATTCATGACGAAAATTCAATCCACTGATCAACAGGCTCCCATGGTTAGGCTTCCTATTCCATCCACCATGGCTGGTCCCTGGGGACAGAAAGGCCAGAAATCAAAATGGCAGTATTTTTGGCTTGGGGAACTGAAATACTTCTGTGGTCAGGCCATGGACCTAGGCACTCAAAGCATACAAGACCCAGCTTTTAGAAACTGCAGAGGTGATAGGAGGGATCAAGTGGGGCCAGGGGAGAGGAGGCCACAAATGGAGAGGGTCTTAGGACACAAGAGCTCCTCAACATGTCTAAGGGTTCTTTGTCACTCTCAGAGAATCAGGGAACATGTGCAGCCAAAGGTCTGTCAGTCCCCACCTGTCCTTGTGCCGCCTAAGATAATGTGTCCCAGTGGTTATTTTAGGCCCATCCCAACCCTGGGCCAATGAGCATCAACCCTAAGACATTAAGAAACGCCTTCCCACAACTCAACGGGGGCTCAGAATACTTGTTTCTCTAAGTCCACTGACTAGGTATCAAGAGTGTTCTGTTATGCCTCCAGCCACCCTGGGGCCTGAGCTTGGATCTGAATCCTCCCAACAAACCAGTCCGTAGAGAACACCCCTCCACCCCCAGCTTTTACCTGGTCCTCATTCTCAGAGCCTGGGCTTTTCTTCCAGTCCTCCTCATCACATGTCAGCAGACCCTTCTGACTTTTGACCCAGAAACACAAAAATATCCAGAACCATTCATCTGCAAAACCAACATTTACTGAGCACCCATCCAGCCAGGCACCCAGTGACCAGGAGTACACAAGTTAGAATCACTGTCCGGAGGGAGACTACAGTCTCATGGGACAGACACTAAACACAGAATTACCAAATAATTTATTAATTATGTAACCAGAGTGACCTCAAATCACCTGAGGTCTACTATCCAAATAACCATAATCACCCTTTCGTTTACTATCCAAATAACCATAATGCTGACAACTCTAGGGAGATGCTAGCAGATAATACAAATTCATTCTAGTTGCTGTTTGTCTTCAAACACTCTTAGCTCTCTTTTAAGCATCTCTATGGCCCGTTTTGACCCCAAACACGAACACATAGTCCTTCCTCCATTCCCCCAAAGAACAAAACACATAGCTGTTGAGTTTAAGAAATTTTACTGAAAATTTGGAGGTGACACAGAGAAATTACACCCTAAAAATAAATACTAGCTGGCATCCATCAACATTATGGCATGCATCTGACGCTCTAAGCCTTGACCAGGTTGCTGGAAACAAGGACCTCCCTTCATGAACTCACTTCTCCCTTCCCACCCCGTGAAGACGGTCTTTTACACGGTAACAACCCAAGGTGGCCTATCTGCCTTCGGATTCATCTACTCACTACTATTTGCCATACATCAGTGTGCATTCATTCATTCTGGAAATATTTATTTGAACACTTATTTTGTACCAGGCACTGTGCTACATGAGGACACAAAAGATAGCAGCAAGCAAAAAAGACAAGACCCTACCTTCATGGAGGAGACATACAATGAACAAGTAAACAAAAAATCTAAAAATTACAAATTTCAACACTTTTTATGAAATGTTTGTAATGGGATGATATAATAGGTGGGGATCTCAGGATGTTAGGAGTGCCACTTTAGAAAGGATGGATAAAGGGCACCTGGGTGGCTCAGTCGGTTTAGTGGCTGCCTTCAGCTCAGGTCATAATCCCAGGGTCCTGGGATCCAGCCCTATATCAGACTCCCTGCTCAGCAGGGAGCCTGCTTCTCCCTCTCCCTCTGCCACTCCCCCTGCTTGTGCTCTCTCTCTCTCTATATCAAATAAATTTTATTTGAAAATTGAAAAAAGGATGGATAAGAGAAGTCTCCCCAAGGAGGTGACCTTGGGATGAGATTTGGGGCTGGACTTCCTAAGGCAGGCTAAACATGTATTTAAGGTGCCAGCAAAGTAGAGGTACCAAAATTTTTGGGGGGAAAACTTTTATATATAATATTTTTTAAGATATGGAAGTAAACACCTTAGGCAAAATTAGAAGGCTGTACATTCCCCCTATATATATTTTAAGATTTAATATTGTTATTTTGATTTATATGGGCAGGGTGGAAAACTCAAATCTTTTCAGGGCTTAGGACCTCTGAAGTCTTACTCCAGGGGCGCCTGGGTGGCTCAGTTATTAAGCATCTGCCTTCGGCTCAGGTCATGATCCCGGGGTCCTGGGAACGAGCCCCACATCGGGCTCCCTGCTCAACGGGAAGCCTGCTTCTCCCTCTCCCACTCCCCCTGCTTGTGTTCCTTCTCTCGCTTTGTCTCTCTCTATCAAATAAATAAATAAAATCTTTAAAGAAATAAATAAAATAAAAAAATAAATAAAGCCTTCCTCCAGCCCCAGGAGATCTTAGAAATCACCCCCAGGAATTTAGAATTGATCCATCTTAGGGAACTCCCCGGCAATGATGGCTTTTAAAAGCTCCCAGGATGATTCTAAAGTGGAGCCAGGACTGAGAACCATTGACCTAGGGAAATAATATAGCTGAAGAAGAGGAATCATGGTAAGACCCTAGAATACCCCCAACATTAAGAACAGTAATTCACTACCTTGGCTGCACAATAGAATCACCTTTAGAGCTTTAAACATTACTGATATTTGGGTTCTACTTGGAGAGATTTCTGATTTAATTGATCTAGCCTGGTCTTCAGAAACTTTAAAAGCTCCCCAGTGATTCGAATGTGTGTTCAAGGTTGAGAATCCCTGACTGATAGAAAAGAAAGATGTAACGAAGGACATCTGGGAAGAAGAAACTAAGGTGGTACAATGAAGAACAGGAGGGTACAGTGTTTTCCTGTTCTTCGACAGGAGAGTGCAGTGTCCCTGAAGCAAAGAGAAAAGGTGTTTCTAGAAGGAAGAAAGAGTTATTATCTGTTGAATGATAAAATCCAGTTCATTCAATAAACATCCCATTTGCTTTTGGTTGGGGTGGTGGTAATGGAAACCAGATGGACGTGGGCAAAAGAGTGAATGGTTGATGAAGAAATGGATACAGTGATTATAGAAAACTGTTAATGAACAGTTTTAGTTATGAAGAGGAACAAAGAATTCAGGCAGCATCTATAGCCAGAATTGAGAACCACTTCCCAGATGTTTCCTACAGTTCCATGGATTGAGACCCAGTGCTCTCTTATAAAACTTTCTACAACAATGGAAATGTTCTGTACCTGCGCTGTCCAAAATGGTAGTCACTAACTACTTGTGGCTGTTGAGTGCTTGAAATGTGGTTCAAGTGACTGATGAACTGAATGTTTAATTCTATTAAATCAGCTGTCCATATAATATAACCTAATCATGGGAGTGACTATCCCATCATATTCACAAACTCTGGGGGCTTTATAGGGCTTGTACATCAGAGGCCATCTTAAAATTCTGCCCACTACATTAGAAATGAGTTCTTTATTCCAAGAGGGCTCCTGGCCTAGATTCTGGATGTGAAGGAAGAGAATCGGATTTTGTGATTAATACTCTTAGAACCGAACTCTCTGCAAGCTGATTTAGGAAATAAGACCTATTGCTCTGCTTCACCACCAGCCTTATGCAAGCATCAGTATTTCCTCGGTCCCCATATTTCCATCCTTTCTCTCCTCTCTCTATTCCCTCATGGGTTATCTCCCCCATTCCCAAGATCTCAGCCACCCCCAACTCACTGAAATCTCTCAAATCTGCAACTGGCAACCCAATCTCTCTCCAGAGCTCCAGATTCCTGATTCATATACAACTGCTTAATGACCACCTTTGCCTGCATGTCTCATAAACAGCCCAAACTCAATATATCCAAAATGGAACTCATTCTCTTCCTCCCCAAATGTGTTCCTTCTTCTTTCTCCAAACCTGGGAGTCATCTCTGACTCCTTTTCTCTGCTATTGCACTAAGCCTTCCAGTTTCACCTACAATGCATCACTCAAATCTGTCTCCCTCTCTCCCCATTACTTCTGTCTTAGCCCGGTCCCTCACCCCCTTAATTACTCTGACAACATCCTACTTATTGCCTCTAGTCTTGCTCCACTCACGCATTCTTCACTATGCCAATAGTGATCTACTTAAAACGCCAACCTTATTGAACTGTTCTGTTGCCTGAGATTCATCAATTTTTGCCACTGCCTAGAGGATAACCAATTCAATATAAGGCAAATTGATAGCTATGATTAAATAAGTCAATAGATGATGCATTGTGCTAGCTCTAAGAACACTGAACAAGACAGAGATAGTCTCCGCCCTCACAGAGATTACAGTCTGGCAACGCAGACACACAAGAGTCATGAAAGGGAAAGTAAGATGGCTGTGGGACCGTGCAACACCTAAGCATCAAGGAAGGCCTCCCTGAGGCAGCGAGAGGGTAGTGACACTTGAAGGATGAGTACGAGTTCATAAGATCAAGGGAAATGATGAAAGTGTTCCAGGTGGAGAGAACAACACAAGGAAGGATCTGAAGTTGTGAAAGAACCCAACAGTGTGGCTGGCACCTAGAGAACAAGGGTTGAGAGACATACAATGAAACTGGAAAAACAGACAAGGACAAGATCATGGGGGAACTTATACACCATGCTAAGAATCCAGGCCACGATCCAAAGGGCAACATGGGGATCCACTGAAGGGTTTTAAAGAGAAGAGTGACATGATAAGGTTTGCTTTTTTTCTTTTTTCTTAAGTTTACATTGGATAGGATTGGATTAATTGGATTGGCTAGGTCAAAACCCAAGGCAGAGAGACCAGTTGTGAGACCATAGCAATAGTCCAGGTGAGATGATGAGGGCTTAGACTAGGAGGGTGGTA